GGGGGGGGCTTGGCTGATTTATTTCAGTCTATAGTTTAGGCTATATAATTCAGTCGATCAGAATTGTATCGATCAGGGACGATATAGGCCACAAACTCTATACAACGGATAAAGGAATTAAGAACTACCTTTCTAGCTGTCTGGAAATTTATGTTTTAAGGTCGATTGATCTCAAGCAATCTCCCTGTCGCAATTTTTCCGTATAAATCCAGCAACCTCTGGTGGGGACCGGAAAGGAGGGGTGGAGTGCGTTTGGATTGAAGGCGTTGAACAGTTTATTTCCAAATAGTAGACCATGAAGTGTTTTACCTTGAAATGTCGTGAAATGCACACAAAAAAATCACGATCAATGGCAAACAACTAGTTTGATATCCAGTGACTCAACAATACATTTTCTTATTTTAGCACCACGCGAAATTCACCCGGAATTCAAGACTTTTTTCTTGCACCGATTCAGTTTCTATATTCCTAAAACGACAGGTGCTGGTGCGGATCTAGGGGTTGGGGCCCGGGGGTCTTGGTCTAACCCCCCTGAATTTAAAAAAATGAGACATTACAACACATTGACTTGGCCTCAGAATACCGGAAATCCCATTTCTGAGGACCTCAATTTTAAAAAAATCCGGATGACTCGCCCTCGACCCCTCCCCCCTCCCCCCACCCTCTGCCAATGGAAGAGCGCCTATCTACTTAAAGCAACATGGCAGAGAGTCTAACCACAATGACTGACTTCTAATGAACGTCACGCTCTTGTTAGTACTGAATTACAATGGACTTCACCACTAGAAAAGAAAATTGAACTCAACAGTTGATTCAGCCATTAATAACCAATTGTAGGCAATCAATAACAAAAGTGACCGAAACGATTGGCAGATCAGTCAGGTTGCATTGCAAAGTAATTGGCATGCAATTTTCCTGCTTTTAACGAAATTTTCCTCTTCCAAACTTTTCCGCTTCAGTTGCTGGATTTGTAAACTTTAAATTTTTTCTTCAAGTCTCCTTTTTTCGAGCCACATATCCTTTCCCAACATAAGTTTTCGATAGGATTTCAAGAAGAACTTGAAATCATTCCTTCTGCCAGCTGTAACCTTGACATAAAGTCATTAATGAACAAATCTCCAGTTGTTATTACTTGGCATGGAGCTAAACTAATAACTAGATCTGGCTATAAACAGGTAAAATAAACACGTTATTATGTTGATAACACGATCCAGCCCGGACAAGTCAGAAAGATCTTTCACGATTATTAAAGTTTGACCTGGGGGTGTGTTGAGGTTAGTTGAGTTTTCCTCTTGTACAGGGCAGTCGCTGCTTCTACCAATTCAGCTCGGCTGGCAGTAAAATAGCTCTGAGTAGCTTATTGCCCGCCACACCCTGGTTTTCTCTCGTCCATAAATGCAAAAAGAGATGAGTTCGTTGCAAGAGAAACGTAAGTTGTCACGCAAAGTGTAATGCGTGAGTGTAAGAGAGAGTAGAGGCAAGTTCTTCCATACTCGATCAATACTGGTCGACATTGCTGAAGAGATCTGTTTGTCACTAAGCCAGCTTGACTAACCTCTTTCTTGGGCTCTGCGGCCTTTTGCAACAACCAAGATATTGTGGAAAGAAATGGTATGTATATGCAAGAACATTTTTTTCACAAACACGTTTTTACAAACCATTATGTCGCAGGTTAAATTTTTTAATTGTTGCAAATTACTATACCGACGAAAAGCTTGCAAAGGTCAGTTTCATAACGGCGAATATTCAGTGCAGCTGTGCAAGTAGATTAGTTTTCATTCATTGTTAGTTTAATCAACTTTATGATAAAATACAACTAAATGCTGCCGGCATGTATAAAATACGTTTAGCTTCGAAATTAAATTCTACCCAGGTTCTAACACGAAATGCGCGCGTGACACTTTCGCGTATCTTGCGATATTTCAAGATCTCCCGTTCTCAAGAGTGGCCAAATTCCAATATCGAATTTCCTTTATCAAGAAAATTGAAAAACAAACATCATTGAATGACAGTACCTCTAATCCAGCTAGAAAAACATTACAAAATTAAATGAGAACAAGGGGGGATACTCCACGAAAACCTCGGTAGGGGTGTGCCACGCGCTTCTTAAACCCCCTTGCCCTATTTGAAGGTACCCTGAATCGAAGATAGTAACCCTGATCTTTGACAGACGAAAGTCTCTTGCCGGAGCAGAAAAAAAGGGAATCTAGATATCTGTCTGGCAGCGTATATTTTAGATCAAACTGGTCGAAATCTACATCTCATTTCAGATATTGGAGGTACTTACTGTCAAATAGGCTATTGGGGATGTGCCGACGGGAAATTATGAGATACAGCATTTTCAAGACTGAATTATGAGAACTCTTTCATTGGAAATTAACAAATCTTTACCATGAAAAAAAAAAAAAAAACCATTACTTAACAATTAGATTATCGGCTTGAAATCTCTATCACGCATAGAAATCGAGAGCGAATAATACTAATTATATTTGTATAAATATACTAGTCGTTCAAAGATTTATCTGAATCCTTTTCACAGACACTAAGAAAACGCAAAGAAGCAGCCGCCGTTTTGTTAAACACCGCACACTACTAGGCTACTCACAATCTCTGACGGAATAGATAGTGATTAGCGTAGCCAATCAAAGAACGGCATTCCTGATAGAATGCTAATGATAAATGTACGATGTACGTGGCCCTATGTAGCACACAACTTATAATTCTCGTTTGCATTACACGCGTACGTCAAATGCGTTTGCTTAACCTCATAAGCTCGGATACACAATGTGGATCAGGACAAAGTCCGCCAAAACATCCATGATACTATATTCATACAACACGGTGTATTTCCCTCTGTCGTCATCGTTCTGATTGCAGTTAATATCACTTATTGACCCGAGCTTTAGTTGGAGAGTGAATGACATAGAAGCTTTCTCGACCTTTCTCGTGTGTGAGACCACAAAACAAGAAATTAAATAGAATTGACCCATTCAAAAGCTTGAGTAGATAAGATCTGCATGGCATTTTATCTCTGATGAGCTCCGTAAGCACATTACTAATTAGTATGTTTCCGGCAGGAGCAGTGATGTTTTCTTACGGTTGGTTAGGAACTTCTGGTATTCTGTGTTATTTTAAAATGTTTTATGCGTAAATTACAGTGTGTAATTTCACCAGTTATTTTAAACTAACCCCGTTAATGCTATTAGACCCAAGTCATTTCCTCTGAATTGCACTTTATTACTTGATTGAAGAAACATAACACTTTTGTATTTAGATTTGTTTTGGTTGGCAATGTTTTTGCTTGGCAATGTTTTAAGTTGGATCTATTCCAAGCCCGTAAACTGAGATTAACCCTACGTTTTTAAGCTTGCTCTCACTCACAAAGCGCGGAGCCTAGACTCCACACTGCTATTCCCTACAACGACAATTTTTTTGATCCCGGCGGAAAGTCCATACGTTCACTCTCATTTTAACTTCTCTAAACTGGCACCTCTCCACAACGGTATTGGCCACTAATAACCTCAAATGCCAAAATAACTTCTCGAAAACGGCCAGTTAATCAACGAACTGACGAACAGTGTATACAAAACCCCATTTTGTTATTGTAAGAGGTTGCCAAACTTGATCCACGCCACGCGCCGTTGGTTTCTATTTCTGTCAAATTTTTGTTAATTGACGCAACTTGATCTATATATGCTTAAATAAGCATTTCTTGGAAAAAAATACTTGTTGTGTCATCGAAAACACAGCTGTCATATTATCACCTTCCACCTCTCAATTACGATCACCTCTCTGCAATAGCAACTTTAACCGCTGTCCCTGAGGTGGCCGTTGTCGAGAGGTTCGACTGTATTTGAGCAGGAAAAAGCTGCATTTTCTTCAGAGCTTAGTGGCCTGAGATATGAGCGTTTAGCCATGCGACGAGATGCGTTACAATCTGTGGTAAAGAGGGGCTTGCATGTCTAACGGACGGGATTTCTCCCGACAAAGCATTTCTTTCAATAAATACCGTACTAATCTAACAGATTGCTAGTAGATCCGTCTACGGACCATCTGTGCTCTTATTACACTACATAATTTATACCCCTGGGTGATGAGAGGTACATGTTGTTACAGGAACTTCTTGTCATCAAGAAACGTAGCCTGTTCCAGTCTCTTTGTCAGTGGATGGAGACGATCGAAAATGCTCGCGGCCAGGTGACGAGTGGGGTCTGGGAGAGAAAAGGAGTGGCCGGACCCAGATCCCGCTCGTCGCCCGCCCGCTTTTACTGAACATGAACTTGGAACAGGCAACAAGAGATGAAGTTTACATATGGGCCTTGGCAAGCCATTGTCACTTGTAAGTCAACGATAAAAGTATGTCAGTTAGTACCAGGAGCCATAATCGGGAACGGAGACCGTAAGCGCGCGCCATTTCTAGTATTGGGGCTGTCCCTATGATATGGGACAATTTTTCTATTTTTAGAACAAATTGCGCCATCCCCTGCGGCACACGCGCGTACATGCTGCGAGGATTTTTGCGGATGTAGCGCGGGGAAATGGCGTCCGAAATTCGCGAAATGTTTGATGCTTTTGGCCCACAACTCAATACCTTCATGTCTGTTGGAATTTTGCTTCAGTGTTTTCGTCGTAAGCTGCTCCAGTTTGAGTGAAGCAAGACAGTGTCAAATTTAGTTATGTGCCGCATTATATCACTGACCAAGTTGTGTTCCGCAGCTTGTTTTACAAGGGCTCCACATTACTCCACTCTAAGTTTCGGGACTTCAAAGTTTCCCTCCTCTTACCACACGCTTGCGAGGATTTCACCAGAGCCTATCTCGACCGAACAGTAAAAAAAACAATAATTGCAAGTTTGAGATTCGCCTGAATTGTAAGCAACGCTTGATGTTTTATCAAGGCCCGATAAGCGACAAAAACGTGTATGTAGATGCTGCTCAGTTTTGTTTGTGTAAAAATCCGATAAATTGACTTTTGTCGATGAATAAGAGCGCCCACCGATGCGTGTTTTGGACAGTCAGTAAAACTGACATGACAAAATGGACTTCCCCACTTTCGAGTGAAAACGTACATCGAACTCATGTATCTCTAGTTTTTAAATGTGTTTAAGGTTGATAAATGTTTGAGAACATATTAAAAGCTTAGCTGAAAATATGTGAATACAGCAGAAATAATCAGCTTTATTAAATCCATTTTGAAATCACTGGCTATCCTTGCAATCTNGTAAAACAAAACAACAAATCAGATTTCAACATTAGTTTAAAGTAAACAATAAAATTTCAGGAAAATGAAAAGCAAAAAGTCATTGTGTGGAGAATTTAGCAACTAGTATTGCCAAAACTCTTGACGAATGTAATTAATTTCAGTTTCTAAATGACGATTATCAGCTCTCTCGTGGTATACCATGGAATATCACACGAGTCACAGTATACACCCTTAGGCCTTTAGGTGAGTGTGTATACCGAGAAAATACAAGTAACTGGTGGAATATTCCGCGGTGTACCACTCGAAAGCGTTGCAAAATATCTTAACTTATTTTTCCTCAATCTGCTGCTCGCCTCATCAGAGGAGTGTAGTCATTACATTTTCTGATTACATCTCGTTTTAAACTTTAACTTTCCGGGATGTTTTGTTTCAGGGTAAGACTCTCCAATTAAGGCCTTCACGTGACTTGCCAACAAGCGTCACCATGGCAACAAGTGTTCTACTCAGGTCTTATTACAAGTAAGTGAATGACGTCAAGTTAAACAAAAATTGACGTCCACTCTCTGAGCTATGATTGGCCAAATAACAGCGGTTACTGTTCTTTAGAAATGAACGAAAAAATATTGGAAACAGCAGCGTCTTTCGTTTCGATGTCAAAGTAAAATCTAATTAAATAATGATTAGCACCGAAGTCTAGGGCTTTCTCAACGAAAACGGAGTTACTAAACTGAAAATTCTAATGCTGATGTAATCACTTCAGTGGTTGCGGACAGAATGCGAAAAAAATTAAAGTCAAACGAACGTGACTGTATTTTTCAATTACACACACTCAAAAAAAAAAAAAAAAAATATTCAGAATTAAATATCAGCCCATAGGCCCGAGAACAGGGTTGGATTCAGGTTGGGGGTTGATTGGATTGTGTGGCTAGCCACTCCCCTTTTGGGAAGTACAAAAGTAAGAAATAAAACGATTGTGCATATTATGACAGAAATAAAGGCAAACACTGTGTACAGACACCTCAATGTAATTACAGTTCAGCAGGAGTACTTTTTAGTAGCTAAATGAATAGCGATAAAAGCACGTTATTCTCAACCAACAGTTACACAAGTGAGTAAGAAAAACAAGACCATGCCTGCATGTACCATTGACCCTGCAACCCCACGCACAGGCTTCCCAAGCTCAAAATACGTGGTGTATACGACAGTTGTGTATATAAGGAATTGTATGGGAAAATCACCGATCGTAAAATAAATGGTGTAAATAACTATCTCATTTGCAATAAAGTTTTCCTACCTCAAATGTGTCGCGCACTTGTCCCCTGTGCCGATTTTAAAGCCATTCTGACGCCGTTTTTCACTAGTCTTTCGACCGCCGAAGCACGCGTGTGTGGAGTGAAATTTATTGGGCTTTATGGAACTGATGGTTTTATTGCGATTCGGGACTTTTCCTTTTGAGGAGAAAGCGATTTGTGGAGTGACGTCTGGCCAGCGATCGGTGGAGTGGTCTGCCTTTCCATTCTTTTAGAAGGAGATGCAACGGTTTCTAATAACTTCACTAAACGGCGTCAGAATGGCTTTAAAATCGGCACAAGAGACAAGTACGCGACACATTTGAGGTAGGAAAACTATATTTCAAATGAGATAGCATTTGCACAATTTTTTTTTTTACGATCGGTGATTCTCCCGTACAATTCTCTCTATACACAAGCTGTCGCATACAACACGTATTTTGAGCTTGGCAAGTCTGTGCCCCAAGGTACTAGGCACACCACCTCCCCCCCCCCCCCC